TGGGAAAATACCCGAACAAAGCTGAATACCATACATGTAAGTACCCGTGAAAACTTAAGAAAACATATATAATTAATCTATATATTTATATATATATTTTCGCGGGTACTTACATGTATGGTATTCAGCTTTGTTCGGGTATTTTCCCACATCATTGTAGTTGTGCTTTTAAAGTTGTAGCAACAACTTTTCGGCAGAATCTCATCTGCCATCATCAGGCTTCTGTATTGTGTTTGTCTGTTCGTATTGTGTTCGACGAACACAATACAGAAGCCTGATGATGGCAGATGAGATTCTGCCGAAACGTTGCTACAACTTTAAAAGCACAACTATAATGACGTGGGAAAATACCCGAACAAAGCTGAATAACACACACACACACACACACACACACACACACTGTATATATGTTCACGTTATATTTCATGCAGCAAATCTGTATTTTATTCGGCCCTTATCTAACCTGGGCCGACCTGAATGCGAACATTGCAGAAAAATTAAGAGTTTTAGTACGTGGTAATAAATATATATATACACTGTATTTTTTCCAAGTGATTTGTAAAAACTTCCATTCCTCCCCCCCTTTAAAAAAAAACCAAACCCAAACCCAACCTAACACATTTGATACGCAGGTGCTAAAAGATGCCTGGGCTCTAATTTCGTTTTGCAAAAAGGTGGGAATTATTCGGAGCTGAATTTGGAGCGGGGGGGGGGAATACAGTTTGTTTTTAAAAAATAAATAAAAAAGATTTACCTGCAAATAATGATGAAGAACTTGGTGAGCAGGAGAGCTTGCTTCAAGCCGGGTTCGGCTACCTCGTCGCGTGAAATTTGGGAGACCGAAGACGTCAACTGTTGGGTTAACACTTGCAAGACGTTCAGAGGTAAGAGTGGAATTTCGGATATGGAGTCTTCGGGCCTGAAAGGAGAACAGGGAAAAGGCACTGTAGGCTTGCAGCCTGGCATGGAAGTAGTCCTAGACTTATAACAGTTCATTTAGTGACTGTTCAAAGTTATGACACTGAAAAAAAAGGGACTGTTGTGGTTCGCCAGTGGAATGCTGCCTTCGGAGCTTGTGGAAACTGGCAGCAGCGATGAGGAGGTTCCCGAGGAGCCTGTGCCAAGTGCGCGTGCGTGCAGGGTTGGTCATAGGAAGGAGCAGCTGTAGCTGCACGGGTGACTCGGGAGTAAGGCTGCAAGGTAATGGCCCCACCCTTAAGAGATAAAAGCCAGCTGAGAAACCGGAGTTCTTTGCAGGAAACAAAGAAGTTTTTACACTCAAGCCTGGTGGATGTTCGGAGTATCTTGGTTGCTGTTTGGAGACTCTTTGTGTTTCAAATATTTCTTAGTAGTTTTATCTAGCATTCTTGGCAGCCTTGCACCACCTTGGCAAGGCTCATTCTTATCAGAGACAAATAGTTTGAAACAGCCTTTTAACTGGAGGGAAGGAACGGAATTCGTAAAGAATCATTAAAAGGTTTGTTGTTACCTCTGTTTGGTGGTTGTTTCCTTGGAACCAGGTTTGGGTCAGAACAGGGACTTATGGTCAGAACCTCTTTTCACACTTACGACCAGTGTCCCTGTGGTCACGTGATCCAAATTCGCCCACTTGGCAACCGACTCGTATTTATGACAGTCGCAGTGTCCCGGGGTGTGTGTGTGTGTGTCATGTGATCGACTTTTGCGACCTTATAACAAGCAAAGTCAATAGGCGAAGCCGGATTCACTTAATATCTGTGTTACTACTTTAACAACTAAAGTGATTCACTTAACAACTGTAGCCAAAAAGGTTTATTTAACAAGTGCACGGATTCGCTTAACAATTGAGGCAAAAAAAAATGATTGTAAAAAAAAAGAGAGACAAACAAAACTTGTCTTGTTAACAGTGGAAATTTTGGACTCAACTGTGGCCGTAACTCGAGGACCACCTATAAAACACAGGTTTCATCTTGACCTAAAAAGTTGATTTAGCGGATTGATTCCTGTCTCGTCAAGGCAAGACACCAATCAGCCCCCTGGCATTTTATGCGTATTTTTTTTTCTCTCTCTCTCTTTTTTAAACAAAAAAAGAAAAATGCCCTTTTGGGAGTGCAATTTTCTTCCCTGTGTCTCTAACACAATTCTGTTTTCGCAGGAGAGGTGGGCTTTACGTACAGCACCCAGCAGAGCTGGAGAAAGGACAAAATAATTCAAGATTTACTAAGGCCTCTGAGCCCCAGTTTCTTTATGGATAAAGGGGAAATCGCCCCATTTAGAAAAGTGAAGAAAAATTAAGGACAAAAAACACACAGGGAGAAAATGAAGTGGCCGTCGTAGAGAAATCCAGAAATTGGTTTTTAGAAGATAAACGTCATTTTTTTAAAAGGGGAAAAGCATACAGCCAGTCCTTGACTTACAATAATTCATTTAGTGTATGTTCGAAGTTACAATGGCACAAACAAAAAGGAACTAAGAATCACTTTTCACACTTACGACCACTGCGGCGTCCCCAAATTCAGACGCTTGGCAACCGACTCGTATTTATGACAGCCCTGCAGTCACATGATCCCCTTTTGCGACCTTCCAACGAGTGAAATGCATAGGGAATCGGGATTCGCTTAACAACCATGTGACTAATTTAACAGTTGCAGTGATTCACTTAACGACGGTGGCAAGGAAGGTCGTAAAAAAGGGCAAAATGCACTGAACAAACGTTTTCCTTCACACCATGGGAATTTTGGGCTCGGTTGTGGTCATAGGTCGAGGACTATCCTATAGCTGAAAAACCGACAGCTGACTGTTGTTGTTTTTTTAAAAGATTGCCTAAGGATGCCTCAAAATATGCAGGCTGAACCATTCAAAGGGCTCGCTCAAATGGGGCTTGCATGAGGACTAGCCTCACGGCTCCTTGGTTTTAACTGCACTCCGAAACAATAGCTACATCTGCACCGAACAGACTCTGCCCAGTTTGATTCCTAGTCTCTGCAGGCAGTCCTCGGTTTTACAACAGATCGTTGAGTGACCGTTCGAACTTACAGTGGGACTGAAAAAGGTGAGTTACAACCATTTTTCACACTTATGACCATTGCAGAATCCGCACGGTCACGTGATCCAAGTTCAAACGCCCGGTAAGTGACTCATATTTATGACGGCTGTAGCGTCCCCATGGTTGTGGGATCAAAATTCCAGCACTTGGCAACTGACTCGTATTTATGACGGCTGCAGCGTCCCTGGGGTCACATGATCCCCTTTTGGGACCATCTGCCAAGCCAAGTGTATGGGGAAGCCCGATTCGCTTAACGGCCATGCAACTAACTTAACGACTGCCGTGCTTCACTTCACAAGGGTGGCAAGGAAGGTCATCCAACCCTGTCTCGCTCAGCGGCGGAAATTTGGGTCTCCATGGCGGTTGTAAGACAAGGACTACCTGCCACGTGGGAAGCGGCTCATTTAACAACCAGAAATTTCAGGCCCCATTCTGGTTGTACTTTGAAGCCTATTCTGTACAGTTTTAATTATATTTTTATTTCAATGGGTGTCAATCAAATCCTTGGCATTTAGGGATAGTCAGGGAGGGCTACCTTCTCGGTTCCAGAGAATGGACGGCGATGATCTTCTCAAAATTGGCCACAAAGGCTTCCAACCACTGCTGGAGGTACGACAAATCTTTCTGGAAAAGAAAAGAAGAAAAGAAATAAAATAGGAGTTAGAAACAGGAAGTGTGGGGGGGGAAGCCCTTTTCACACTTCTAGGACCAGGGCCGTTTGGGATCCTTGTGAAGGTGATTGGAACCAAAGGATGATCTCAAGGGGTCCCTTCGAACTTTCCTCCACCTCAAGTCTCTTCCTCGGTAGCATCATCCCTGTTAAAAGTGTCAGCCTCCCTCCCTTCCAGCACTGATGATGTTACCTACTTGGGTCATGAAACGTCTGCAAGAAAACCACCCAGCCCAGAGGGCACCAAGGACCCCACAGTCCCTCCCTCCCTCCCCCTCCTCCACCCTGCCTCTTCCCCACAAATACCCTCCCTCCTAACCCTGATGATGTTCCCTAAATGGGTCATGAAACGTCTGCGAGAAAACCACCCAGCTCACAGAGCACCAAGGATCCCACGGTTCAATCCTGAGCTAAAAGTATTCTCATCTATTGGTGCAGTCTGTTTTAAACATACTTTATGCCTCTGATGCAGTTAACAGCAACTCACAAAAGCTGACGCCTTTTTGTGAAAGTTGTGGGTTGGAAAAAGTGCTAGCAGACGCCTCCCAATTGTGTGAACCTCACTCACAAAAGATAACACCCGTTGATGGGAAAAGCTGTCAGCAGGCACCACATATATATATATATATATATTTTGCACAACACGCCTGAATTAAAATTCTCACATCCAAGCACAAAACTTCACATCTTTGCCTTCACGGTCAAAGATCTGTTGTGAGTCTGCAACAACACAATGAGTTTTGCTTTTACTAGAAAACCGTTTCTGGACTTTGTGCTCAAGACAGAAAAAAAAAGAAAGAAAGGAAGAAAGGAAGTTTTGTTCTTGGCTTTTGCTGATGAGATTAGTTTGTTTATAACAGGAAGAGTTAATATCTACCTGCATGCAAAAGTTAAAATTCAAGGCTGTGGTGTGACTCTACGTTTTGCAGCGCTGAAAAAAGTTGAGAAATCAATTTTTTCTTTACATGTAGTCCTCGACTTACGGACTTCTGACAAACAAAATCCATGGGGAAGCCAGATTTGCTTAACAACCGTGTTACTTACTTAACAACTGCAGTAAGTAAGACTGGAGAAAGAAAGGTTGTAAAATAGGACAAAACTCACTTAACAAATATCTCGCTTAGCAACAGAAAAGTTGGGCTCAATTGTGATCATAAGTTGAGGACTACCTGTGTTTCTTTCTCACTTTGGCGGCTTACCACTAAGTTAAAAAAAAAAAAGCAAGGTCAAACTTTAAAATATTAAGAACATAAATGTTAACATTCAAATCTCAGGCTTCTCCTTTCTTTCCCTTCTTCCTTTCCCTCCTATCTTTATTTTCAATTATATATACAATAAACCTAATTCAAAAAAAGTAAAGAAAACTGCAAATGCTCGTTTTGCAACCTGGTGTATGAAGAGACCCTGGATATTGAAAAGCGAACGTATCCCAACATTTAAAATTAGAGATGGGACGAAGCAGCTGCAGGGGGCCTCCCAATTTCTCCTCCTTTTTAAAAGTTTGCGTTCTCTTCCAGCCTCCAGATGCAAACAATTAGGAAATGCAGAGTGGGTGGAGAAATTGGGGGTCCCCCACGGCTGCTTTGACACATTGTCCTATCCCTAATGAGGTGGCTGGGGGACAGATGACCTTCAGGTGCCCCCTGCGCCCAGTGTGTACTGAAAACAGGAGAGAAACCAGGTGGTTAATCTTTGTTGGCCAGCACAAGATCGTAGGAGGGCTGGTACAGCGTCGTACCTTGTTGGAGATAGACACGCTTTCAGCTTTCGATTTACAGCTAAAATCCAAACACGAGATAAGGATAATAAACGCAGCCCGGAGTCCTGACTTCTGTTTACAAAGGGAGATCATGGGAGGTTTACACTATTAAAATGTTTTTAAAACCATTAAAACCATTTAGATGCCCAGGCATCGAGCCGGGATTGCAAAAGAGAGCCAGACAGGTTTAGTGGTTAAGGCACCAGGCTAGAAAACGGGAGACAGTGAGTTCTAGTTCTGCCTTAAGCGTGAAAGCTGACTGGGTGGCTTTGGCCCAGTCACCAGGAGACGGTGAGTTCTAGTCCCGTCTTATCCATGAAAGCCAGCTAGGTGACTTTGGACCACTTCATCTGCCTCAGCCCAACCTACCTCACACAGTTGTTGCTGGGGGGGAAATAAGACGAGGAAATTGTGTGGGATATATTTGCCTCCTTGAGTTATTTGTAAAAATAAAAAGTTGGGATACAAACAAACGAATTGTGTAAGAAGTGTGCAAAATATGCACCCCTTGAAGGCAGTTGTTAGTGGCAAGAAGAAATAAATAGGGTAGAATTAGGGGGCAGGTTATAGCTAAGGATTGGGCCTGAGGCCGAATTCTCTTTTAGCAGAATTGGTAGAATTTCAACAGGATTTATTGATTTTGTCCATTTGCAGAGGGCTCAGCTTGCAAATTCAGCAATTCTGCACAGCCAACGAAGTTAAACGGCATCCCAAGAGAACCCAGGGAATGAGATTACAGGCAGTCCTCAACTTACGACCACTTGTTTAGTGACTGGCGTTGTGATAGTGCTGAAAAAAGGGACTTAGGCACGGTTCTCGTATTGATGACCCTTTCAAGAGTCCCCGCCGTTATGAGATTGTGATTTAGGGGCTTGACAGCCGGCATGCATTTACGATAGCGCTGAGAAAAGTGACTTATGACCATTTTCACACTTATAACCATTGCATTTCAATGGTCATGTGATGAAAATTCAGACGCTTGGCAACTGACTCGTATTTATGACGGTCGCAATCTCTCAGGGTCACACAATCCCCTTTTGCGACCTTTTGACAAGCCAAATCAAAGCCCAGATTCACTTAACAACCATGTGACTAATTTGATAACTGCAGGGATGGTGACCAGGAAGGTTGTCCAAGAGGGCAAAACTCATTTAACAACTGTCTCACTTAGCGACAGCTTTGGAAGTCAAAAATAAGGCTGAGCACCCAATCCAGCAAAGAGTTTGGACTCCCAACAAAAATGGGTTTCGCCAGGACTTTCCAACAGCGATGATGACAGGCAGGAAGGCTGAAGCAACAGATTGTGAAAGGGTGACACAACACCTCTTTGACCCAGATGTGAGAAATTGGAATTTGTAACCCTGAAAAATTTCTGATGTTTAAATGTCTCCCGAAATCTTCCTTTGCGTGATTGACAACAGGTTTAAATTAGTGGGTTTAAAAAAAAAGAAAGAAACTGGAGTATTTTTAAGATGGGTGGACTTCAACTCCCAGAATTCCCCAACCAGTCTGTCTGCCTGAGGAATTCTGGGGGATTCTTAAACCCACCCCTCTTAAACCTTGCTGGCTGGGGGATTCTGGGAGTTGGAGTCCACCCCTCTTAAACCTTGCTGGCTGGGGGATTCTGGGATTTGGAGTACACCCCTTAAAATGCTCCAATTTGAGAGAAAAAATATAGCTTCAACCAGCAATTGCGTCTTCCTGCATTTATTTTTCTTGGAGTTTGCAAAGGTCTCTTCACAATGTGCCTCTTTGGCTGCACAACTCAACAACACACTTTTTTTCTTCCTTCTTGGTGTCAACATTCAAAACGGTTCTTGCATCACTGCTGTCCAGAAGCTGACCCTTTAAAGGCAGCGGGTTCAAGGGCATGCATAAAGGTCTCCCCCTCCCACCACCAACCCCTGTGCTTAAAAAAATCCCATCTCTAAAAGTTCTGAGTTCAAGATTTCACAGGTCCCCTATGGCTTAACCCTAGCCCTAACCTGGACTTCCTTTCGTGATAATCCTCGGTTTATGGCCAGAATAGGAACACAACCCTTGTGGTTGAGCAGTTTTTTACAATCATTTTTCACCATGGTTGTTAAGCGAATCCCTGAGGTTGTTAAGTAAACCACGTGACTCCAGCTTCTGAATCCTGAGATGAGGATGGACACAGAGGCGAGACAGCTTCTGCCAAAACCCCAAATCTACCCACGGGGTCATTTAGAGTTGAACCCTGCCTGATGGCCCATACACCTGCCAATCAAATTTCACCATCTCCAAGCCAACCTGGATGATGTTAGACAAAAGGAAGTATTTAGAGGCAGCCAAAACTGCCTTTTGAGAAAAGCTCAGCCCTCAACCCTCTGCAAGTCTTAACTAGACCACACCCACTGCCAAGACCCTCGGACTCCAGAACCCCATCATCCCCAGCCTGATCGCCCACCTGGAAACCTCTCCAGCCAGGTGGCCCTCACCAGCCACGGACCTGATGTTTCCCACCAAACTTTGATTCAGATGCCAAAGGCAAATCCCACTTCACAAATTCCAGCACCCCTGATGATGCTACCTAGCTGGGTCATGAAATGTCTCCAAGAAAACCCCTCCAGCTCGGAAAGCACCAAGGACCCCACAGTCCTCCTCCTCCTCCTTCCCCCGCTGCAAACCCCTGTCCCTTCTAGTACTGATGATGTTCCCTAGTTTGGTAATGAAATGTCTGCAAGAAAGCCACCAAGTTCGGAAAGCATCAAGGACCCCATAGTCCTCCTCCTCCTCCTCCTCCCCCTGCTGCAAACCCCTGTCCCTTCTAGTACTGATGATGCTACCTAGCTGGGTCATGAAATGTCTGCAAGAAAGCCACCCAGCTCAGAAAGCACCAAGGACCCCACAGTCCTCCTCCTCCTCCTCCTCCTCCACAAACCCCCCTCCCTTCCAGGGAGCAACACGGATACATGGTGTGGGCGTCTTTCACAAACCCTCGGCTCAAGGCAGGCCAAACTTGCACACTGCAATGCCACACCCATGGACCGACAATCCGCACACCTGTGCAGGTAGGTCCAAACCCAGCCCCCCCCCTCTTCTCCATGCACGAAGGACAAGGGACGTCCCTTACTTAGGGCAGGGTTTTGCAAGGTTTTACCTGGCACAGCGCGGCACAGCCCTTCCACGCAGAGGTGCCTAAGGGCTCCATCACCGAAGGATACCTTTAGACGCTAAAAGACCACAGGACCCATGTGGAGATGAGGCTGCCCCCACCCCCGCTGCCCAACCTCCCAGAGAGGTGTGCGGGGACAATATTTCCGAAGAAACCAAAAACGCCAAACAAAGAAAAGTTTGCAGAGAAACTGAGAATGCCGAGCGAGGATGTGACTTTCGCAAAAGGGTTTCTCGGTTTAACAGCCTCCAGGAAATGCTAAGTCACGACAAGAGACAACACTTCCTTTCCTGCCGAACGAGAGACCCCACCGCAAAACAGTGTCTCCATTGCGCTTGTCGCAAGCGAACACGCCCCGAAGCTGATGCCAAACCGAACCAAAAAAATTACCCCGAAAAAGGGAATTTTATTTTATATACATACATACATACATACATACATACATACATACATACATACATACATGCATACATACACAAATATCTATCTATCTATCTATCTATCTATCTATCTATCTATCTATCTATCTATCTATCTCCAGCAAGTAGCCCAAAGCTGGCCTTTTTTTTTCCCTCCCGTGGTCGAATCCCCATTCTACTTTCTCGCACCGTCCCG